GGTTTCTTGCCTCGGGCAGTATTACCTGACAGTTAAATGCTTTACAAACAAAAACTTCCTTTTATCCATTTACTTATTTAATCATTACCACCTTATACATGTAACACATTGTTAGCTTGTACAGGTCTAGATGAGATAATTATTGTTCTGACAATTTCATGAAAAAAATTCACCATTTTAGCTGGTTCCGCAATTAAGATTTTTTAGCCAGCGTAACATGATTACTGGTAAAAAAATTAACTTTATAATCAACCCTTTATTAGTAATTTTACATACGTTCATTAGTAGCTAAAGACTTAGTTCGTACAATGACGTCGTTACTCGTACTCGTTCGTACTATGTCGTATGCAGAAATTGGTAAAGGTTAAATGAATTAAAGAAAGATAACTTTTTATTTTGCAAAGTTAATAAATATCGTCAAAGTTTTCACTCGTCAATTTTTTAAGACGAGGAAATCGTCAAACGTTTAACATCTTTCCTAAATGGCATTGTCATGACCGGCTTATTTTCAAAAATGGCTTATTTTCGAGTAATTTTTAATGCAAGAAATAGGTGGCTAATTTTCAAAACCGGCTTATTATTAAATCCGTCTTATTCAATCTGCATTCATAATGCATACATAGACATGTTCAATGAAAACATTACTACTGATTCACTGTGAAAATATTTTATATACATCAATTCAATTATAATTTACAAAATAAATTTTTAGATAGACAATAGAGGTAAATTATGAAAAATTATCAATTTAAAGTTCTTAATCAGGGCTCACTTCCTTTATTACTGTCCTTTTGCTGTATTCCCGCTCTATTTCCGTCCCTTCGTCTCCTCCCGTTTTCTTCATCTTGATCTTTGTCATACGTACTCGTACTTTATACACTTCTTTATGCATGGTCTTCGCTTTCATTGCTATTTACCGCCACAACATTTGTTTTTCCTGCAGTCTCTGACTGAAAATACAAAATAGTTTGATATTAGAAACAATACAATTAATGCACTGTAAAAAATGTGTTTAGACGATAGACACTTTCCTAAGCACTTTCTTGTCACACTTTTTTTGATGCGTTGAAATTCTAAACACATTGAATTTCATTACGTGTAACGGAAAGTGTTTAGAGCCTAAACACTTACATGTTTAGACTTTAAACACGTTACAAAACATGTTATGATACATGTTTACAAATTAAACACTTGGATGTTTTCGTTGTCTTCCTGCAAGAAAACTGAAAAAAATAACAATTGTTTACATTTTAAATTTTATTCAATGAACATTCAAACATGGAATTTTTATAAAGAATTTTAAATTAAATATACATTATATTTTTACACGCTGGTTTTAATTCTAACCAGATTAGCAAGCAGTTATTTCTCATGTCTGTATCAAGTTTAACTTCCAGCAATTTTTCACTGAGCAACACACGCATAATTTGTTTTCATCTGTGACCGTCAGTAGGTAATCCACTGTCATTATTTGAGAATATTTTTAGGTTGTTCAAAGCTATAACGAACAGCAGACTTCACAAAGCTCAGTTTCCCCTAGAAAGTAAGAAGTGTTGAAAAATGTAAGAACGATGGCATGCCATTGTGGACTTGAAGATGGCAACAGTTTCTCTGATACGTGTATTTTTGCTTTCAAGTTCGATGTGGACCATATCCTGTAAGAAAAAAATTCAAATTTTATCAAAATATGCTTTTCACTGGCTGGATTTGAATGAACCTTTTTTTTTTTTTTTACATGTTTGATAGCTATTATTGTGCTACTTTTATTGAACCTCGTCTATATAACCACTAATAAGTATTGATACTGTTGTAGATATTATTGATATTCTATATAATGTACTTCTTTCTAGATTTCAGGAATACAAAATATTACCGAAGTAATCTTGATCTACAGCTACATGTGCAAACGCATGTCTATTTACGTAGCCCATCATGGTCAATTTATGTAAAATAAAAATGATAGTTAACATACCTTTTATCGCAGTTATGTTGCAGTTTAAACATGTTAAATGCATTTCACAATCTCTTCATGGTTATCACTTTGATTAGCATTCACTTCCTTTAATCCATCTTCTTTAGCTAACATTGGGATATCCTTTGTTTCGATAACCGCTCTATTTATCATTCGAATATATATGCGTCATTTCCGGGAAGATAACTCTGCACTTCACAGAAAAGTGTTCAATTTCTAAACACTTATATCTAAACATGTGTTAAATCTTAACATCATTTAGATATAACACACGTTTAGACCTAAGTGTTTAGCCGTTAAACACAATCTAACACATGTTTAGACCTAAGTGTTTAGCCGTTAAACACAATCTTATACATGTTTAGGTCAAAACACGTAACGGACGTGTTTATTTTCTAAGCGCATTTTTTACAGTGTGGTCCACCTTATGCATAAATATTACTTAATTAAATCTTTTAATAAAGAGAATGATATATTATACTATTAGTGCACCCTAATTTCCTTGTTACAATCGTGTCTGTAATAAATCCAGTTAAGAAGTAGATAGAAACAACTTAGATGTTATTTAACCTTAACTTACAGTGCTTGTGTGCAAAAACATCAATTTTAACAGTTAACCTGAATAAATAAGAATAAATATATACTTACATCGCTTCTAAATGCAGCTATAGCAAGTGTTTAATCCACAAATTTAAATTTCACTTCTTCTTGCTTGCCCTACATTTTCAGTCCAACACAACCTGTGAGCAGTTGAATGTGACAACTCACTCCACAGTTTGGTGTAATTTGTTTCTCGCGCGACTCTCTATCTCTAGCGAACGCCTAACTTTTGTTTCCATTTAATTATAAAGCTGTGTCATTTTGATTTATGTATATGTAAGGCTTCATTCACATCCTGTTCCTGAGAACTTATGCAGTCTTCTCTAAATTCTCATGAATTCAACGCTCATGGAAAAATTCATTATTTCAAGGGTTTTATTTCAAATAAATTAATACATTGTAAGCATGCATGTGCACAATTCAAAAAATATAATAAAACACTCTTTTACGCTGTGATCACTTAGTTCAAAGTTAAAATATTGAAAATATCAGATCTAAACAAAAACAGTCATCAAATAAAAAGCATGGACATTGAATGTCCTCTTAATTATTTCAGAATGTGCTTATAAATTAAAACTGAATTAGATCCAACGTTGTCCCAACGTAAAGCTCAGCAGCTAAAATTGACACCACCATTTAGTTGGCAGTATAATAATTGGGCCAGCGTTGGCCAAATATAAATATTCCATCTTTAAAACACCTAAACAAAAGAACATTCGTGCTAACATCGGGCCAACGTTGGGCCAACATACTACTACCAACTTTATAAGACACTTTCTTTAAGGGTGAATAACAAACATCGGGCCAACGTTGGGCCAACATATTACTACCAACTTTAAAAGACACTTTTAAGGATGTATTACAAACAATGGGCCAACTTTGGGCCAACATACTACTACCAACTTGATAAGACGCATTCTTTAAGGGTGCATTACAAACATTGGGCCAATGTTGGGCCAACATACTACTACCAACTTTAAAAGACACTTTTTAAGGATGTATTACAAACAGTGGGCCAACGTTTGGCCAACATACTACTATCAAATTGATAAGACAAATTCTTTATGGGTGTATTACTAACATTGGGCAAACGTTGGGCCAACATACTACTACCAACTTTAAAAGACACTTTCTTTAAGCGTGTATTCCAAACATTGGGCCAATGTTGGGCCAACATACTACTACCAACTTTAAAAAACACTTTCTTTAAGTGTGTATTACAAACAGTGGGCCAACGTTGGGCCAACATCAACATCCCTCCTTTTTTGCGAAGTAAAGTGAATGGAAGTTGCTATAACGTTGGACCAACATAGGAATTCTGTCATGGTCGAGAAGGTTGGCATGGTGACATTGGTCCAACGTTGTTCCCCCAACGCCAACCATACAACCTTTTACCAATGATGGCCCAACATAGTCTTGCTATCTGGGCTTCGATCTATAAATGCATGTAGGAAAACTATTGATATTTGAGAAGTGTTCATATGATAGATATGTTTTTAAAGAAACCAGTTCTAAATGTGTTTTTATTTATACCTATTAAAGTCGGTGGATTAGGAGATTCAGATATTGATTAAATATATTCATGAAAATAAATTCCACATCTTGGAAACAGCGATAAAAAGTCTGGATGCGTCAAACGTCAAAACACGTGGTGAAAAAATCTGCGTCGAAGTTTATCGTCAGTCTGCAACGTCACGTCTTCATGACGTTATTTCTCTGTTTTATCAAAAATGCCATAAGGCCCTTTTGTCATGGGCGCAATCACTTGTATTTATTTCCTTTGTCCAAATATTCTAAAAATTAAACATGGTTCTAACTGGTTCAGTCTTAAACAGAGGAAACTTTAAAAGAAAATCGACTTACGCTAGATGTCCGATGGTATAAATCAATAGATCACATGAATTACTCGTTTGATCTTTTTAAATACATGTTATGTATCGCTTATCTCTAACGAAAATGAACTCAAGCGAACTGTAATGAACTTTGATTCTTTTGAATTAACTTGATGCTTTGACTAACCTCGAAACCTATTTGAAAACGTTTTTGAAAAAAAAAATGATCCTTCATATTTTTTCAAATAACAGACCAGTGATCTTTATTTAAAAAATGTTGAGTTAAATGAAAGTAATTTTTTTATCATATCAAAAAATAGCTCGTATGTGTTATAAAATAAAAAAATGACGATCAGGAATTCAAAGTAAAACAAAGTAAAAACCCTGATTTATTATAGTAAACTATAAATAAGTGTAGTAAGCTATAGTGAACTACTGTCCTTTTTGTTATGTAAATTCTTTGAAAGTTATAATCTCCTTTGGCGGCTCTTACATGGAGTACAATGTATCAATAAACAAGATTAAAAGAAAAAGCTTCCTTGAATAATTTATTAGCTTACACACAAAAATACATCTACTTGTTCCCTTACCTCCGTAGGTCCATTCTGAGAAAAGGCTGCCATTTTGATCACACACATTCACATCTGTTTTTTCGTTCAAGTCCTTTGAAGCGTCCACCACCACAACATAGAAAGCTCTCCTGGTCAGGTAAATCTGGTGACATGCGTAGTAGACACACTGGCCTCCAAAATCAAAGAACGTCAACGTCTTTGATGGTTTCCCCTCAAACTCGTACTTTGTATTCAGGGATGTAGCTATCAACGTTTTAAAAGACAGATTACAACTAAATCATTCAACAAATTTACAATTTCATTTACTTTGTGGGAAAACATAGGACAAAATTCCTTTGGTGTATTAATGTGGCATGTAGAAGTATACGTATTTATGCCACACGTTATATAAAACAGACTATTTCACCCAGCATATCAAAGCATGTATTCTTTAACAAGGTACATTTTAGTGATTTGTTTTCATCAATAATCTCAAAAACTTCTTCATGGACATCCAAGACTTCCGTTGATTTCACGTTCATTATTTCCTCCTAACTACACCTTAGCAGACGTTTGAGTAGCGTGGTTTTCCCCGCCCCAGCACATCCTACAATCATCCCCCGGGCATGGTGGACTGTGTGTGTTCCTCTCTTAGCGTAATCCACATACCGCTCTCTGGCCTCCTGGTCCCAAAATAGTACCTCTCTTGGTACACCCACTGTCATATTATGAAAAAATTACAAACAAGTTTAAACTTAATTAAAACATGAAGTAGGATAACTGTAATATTCTTTACAAAAATCAAGGGCTAAGTTTTAACGACTGATTATTTTTACATTATTAAATAATGTATTTTCAAGATCAATAAAATAAAGGACAATATAGAAAATTTGACTCCTTATGTGATCTAAAAACCAGAACAGTTGTAATAATTTGTAGTTAAGAACAAAAAATGGTGCTTTCTCTAAAGCTAACTTGTATTCAAAGCTTAATAGAAAGCTATTAGAGGGTGAAGAAGTAGGGTCATTTTCCCGAATTTCCTCAATCTGGTAGAATTTCATCTTGTTTGAGATACTTGTTTCTTCGGAAAACAAGAAGCAGAAGGTATCTACCTGAGATTTTTACACAATAACTGCATCTATTGATAGTTTATAAAATATTTAAATTTGGTAGATAGACATTCATTGAAAATTGCTTAAATGAAAGATGCTCCATCTGAATCATTCTTTTAAGTTTTGACATATATAATCATTTTCATCGCTCTATTAAAGAATCAACTGTGGTGAAAAAAGACATATAATAGTGAATTACATAATTATTGAAAAAAAAACTTTTATGAATTGCCTAAAATATCGATACAATTCATTTAAACATTAAAGACAATTTCAGAGCTAACTCATCATTTTTATGTTTGTATGAAAATGGATCTGTTAAAAACAGAAGGTATATACTAGTAATAAAATCAGTTCATGGTTTTAAAAGATTATATTTTGGAAAGAAGCAGAGCACTAATTAGGTATTTAAACAGCAATTAAAAGTCTAACAATCTAACGGACTGACCAATTACTCGGTCGGATACTAATCTGGAGAGCATTAACTCTCTGAGTCAGCTATAGTAGGTAGCTGAAATTGTTAAACTTCAAAAATATCTTTACTTTTTGTCAAATTAAAATTTAAGGATAAATTATTCAAAATCACATAAAATCTAAAGTCTTCCAGACAAACTGATCTAATGTTTCCTAACAATCCTAAAAATTGTAAACGGGCATTTAATAAAAAGATTTCTCTTAATTTTTTATGTAAATTAAAGGAAATCCGAAAATAATCCTTTCCTTTTTTCCCTTTCACGGATAAGAGAGCTCCTAATTTAACAAGCTATATGAACAGCATACATTTACTATAGTTAACCTGAACTTCTGTAAGTCTACAATTTCTTCTGCAAACATTCAGCTTTTAAATGTGAATCAGGAAAAAAACATACTCACAGCGTTCACAAACACTATCATGGACATTTTCATCTGAAATGGTGCAATGGCTGATGATATTCATCTGTAGTTTGTCAATAAGAGCATTTATTATTTTCTCTGGTCTGTATGGTACATACAGACATCTTTCTTTCTCATTTTTCTCATACTCCCAGGATCTGCAGTATTCTAAAATGACGTCGCTCGAAGCCTCAGTCAAGAAAAACTCCAGATCATCATCCTCCAATAAACATTCGGTGACGAATGTATACATGACTTCATGTCTTGTGTCTTCTGATGCAAATGTTGTGAAACCTGCCTCTGTTTTTATCACATCCGTAGAAACATTTGCCAAAGTAACATCAGCAGAATGTGGAAAATATTTCTTTTTGAGTTTCTCCAAAAGCTTTTGAAAGCGATAATCTCTGTCTTTTGTTGTGTAATTCTTCAAAAGCAGCAGGCAGTACAAAACACATCTGACTTTATCTGGAAAACTATGGTATCCACCTAGAACGTTTTGGTACAAGAGTGTATATAAATCAAAGAAAACGAAATGTCATCAGCTTATCAAAAATGGGAATATATCGCATCTTTTGTTTAAAATACATTCTGTAAGTCACCGATTTAAATTCACTAAAAAAGAATTATTCCATTCACATATTGAAATGAAAATGTGCAAAATGAAAATGCATATCGTGTTCTTGAATCCAATGAATTGATAGTCATAAACAATATAGGCAAAACATAATGGGTATATCAATATATAATCATTGCATGTAATTGAGTCTAACTTTGAAAATTTTCACTCAGAGAAAACCATTGTCAGTGTTTTCGAGAAGTGAAAATTTTCAATGTTACACTCAACAATATGCAATATTTTTTTTTTATTATACTGAATGTTTTATACAAATACATATAACAGTGAACCGTGCGTGCATAAACTCTGTGCAGTCGCGTTTTTTTTTTTTTTTTTGGAATATCACCCGTTGTCAAGCAATGTTTACTGTTGCGACGCTGGGGGACGTGGCTTCATTATTCAGCGGTTAATAGTGCTTTTTACCAAATGTTTCTCGCCCAATCAGATTCAACTAATTTACATGACAGTATAATATTGCAAACTATCTAACAGAAGTTAATTGTAAAAAAACAAAATTGAAGTCATCCCCTAATTTATCATAAAGCTGTGTTGTTACGATTATTAAAGCTATATTTAGTTAAATATTAAAATATGATACTTATTTGCCAGAGTCTGTTGAAGTTACTATTGTTAAATGATATTACGTTGTCAATATTTCGAAAAATTAAATGCAACAGCAAGGTTTCTTTCTTTTCTGATTCTGATACGTATGAAAATAAAAATAAGCACAAATACGCTTGGTAACCAATAGGAATTCCAATAGAGTTTTTGAAATTTGTTCTCCGATAGAATGTACCCTGAAGATACCCATTACTTTCAATTAGAAATTCAAACATCAAGTAATTAATTTAGGCAAACGTATAATAATTTTTTTAGAAAATTAAGTATTTTGTGACGAAAAAATAGACTCATCACTTCAGATTCAGAATAAGTATTCCAGTAAAATCAGATTTCCTACCCGGTTTTCTGTAAGCTTTGTTGTTAATGATAAATAAAATCGGTATGTGGATAGCGGCCTATGCAGGATCTGGCGAACTCAGATCTCCAAAATCTGTAATTCCATGTTACTTGTGCACTCTTCTGTGGATCTCCTCTGCTATGTACTAGCTCACCAGTTTCTTGATGCTCCAAAAGAAACTGTTTCCTCTCATCCATCCCTTGTTTTGAAATGCTTTCAGGTATGTTAACTACAAATATGGAAACACTTGCAGAAATTGAAATATAATTTATTATTGAGTTAACACATGTATGTCACAGGCAATTTTTATTCACACAGTAAAATGTAGCAATACTGTAAATATTTTTTTATTTGCAAGAACTTTATTTTTGCGTACATTCAATTAAGGGAGCAGACCGGTATGCTCGCCAAAATTTCATTCTCGCATATAAAAGATCTGTCTTAAGATTATCTAAAGCATTGACCACAATTCGTGAAATTTTAAAAATCAATGACTATCTTGCAAAAAATAACGTGTCGCGAAAATTAAGTGATTTAAAGTACCATCGAAAAAAAAGTTTAAAATAATCACTACTAAATTACGCAATACAGTTAAGGTGCGCAATGGAAATATCGACTAAATTTTGTATTTAAAAATGTATTCGTAATTGGGATGGCGATTATTTTTAGTTCATCATATATATCGGATAATTGTAATTATGATTGAAAACTACGTATCGAGAACGATTATATTTTATATTTAGACTAGTCACGTGATGCGGCACGCGATTTTAGCACATTGACTTGAGGTATTGATGTTACATATAAATATCACTAGTGCAAGGGCATAACCAAGTTAAATTTCCAAGTTTAGTATATAAATATTTCAAACACGCATTGTAGTTTCTAAAAAGTGCTGCGATCCTGTCTAAATTCTGCAATTTCATTGTTAAAATTATACTTGTATGACCATAAGCTATATTTTTTGCTGGTCAGCGGCATAAAATATTGACATAATTAAATTGTTTTTAAGAGTTCATCAGGATCGCAGCACTTTTCAGATACCTTAATAGCTCTATAGTTGAAATGTAAAAGCTTACTTTGATCCATAGAGTGTATGCCCTTGCACTAGATCGATTTATTAAGACCCCCCACATTACCCTCCGATGTACTTGCATACAAAAATACGGCAGTGTCAATTCAATACGTAATGTACAGAAAATACATTAATTGAATAGTGAAGATGACATTAAATTCAAGTTATTGGCCTATAGAATATCTGTAAATAATATTTTATTTAATTAGAGAATACATATTTTGTTGAGAAAATATTACTTGATCTGTCTCTCACTGCATACAAACTACGTCACGTTGAAAGAAATGCCGTCATATTGACAAGTGTATTGCGATCAGTGACTTGTTTATAACTTGTTATGTGGGATTTAACCACAGGAGTTCGCGTACCTATCAATTTTACGGAAATTTTCAGTAAATAAAAAAGATACGTAATACCTATAATAATAACACAAGGAGTGCAACGCATTTTACGTCACCTTGGTACCCCTCGCTTAATATCAAGGCTGTCGCACAATTAATCTTCAATCGAAAATTATAAAACACAAACCAATCTTTTTGGAAGGGACCATTCTTTATGGCTCTTAATGCATAAGATTTCAAACTCATGTTTTACAGCAGCAGCGGTGACATTTCTCCAGAACTTCGCTCAAATATCCGTTGTCCGCGACGCCATGACGTGACGTCACAGGCGCGTCCATTTACCCAAAAAGGAACAAAACTGCCTGAAATGCTAATCTAGATGATTGAGGTCATATGCGAAAATAAACCAGAGACAAGTCAGTTGACATTCAAGAAAATTTAAAACGGGGAGGTACAAGTACTTGTACTCGTATCTAAACGTAATATCGCTATCTGTAGTTAATTGTGTATGATTGTTTATTTTTGTTCCTTTTGGGTAAATGGACCGCCCGTGACGTCACGTCATGGCGTCGCGGACAACCGTTGCACTCCTTGTGTTATTATTATAGGTATTACGAATTTTTTTTATTTACTGAAAATTTCGGTAAAATTGATAGGTACGCGAACTCCTGTGATTTAACTAATGACAAAACAACATGCTGTAGTAAGTTTTTATGTAGTCTGATGATTTCTTACTGGTTAAATTTATAGATACACTCATTTTGTGGTATTGTAAAGAAATGTTGTATGACGTATATCGTGTATAATGTCAAAGTCAAGTTTTCTCGTAAAAATTAGGCTCCGCCTCCTTTTTGTAACCTTAACTGTGCTGCGTACTATTTCAAGTTATCAAATATGTCATTGAGGACATATTTCATTAACCACATACAGCGCTCGCTCCGTGATCGGGAGGTCGTGAGTTCGTATATCGGGCACGACTGACCTAGTCGTTAAAATGGGTAGCAACTGTTCCTTCGCTATGCACAAAGCAATTTGAAGTGAAAGTTGCAGGTTCTTCGGATGAGACCTTAAAAACCGAGGCCCAGTGTCAGCGGCAGGCGTTGGTACGATAAAGATCCCTCACTGCTCAATGGCCCTGAGTGCCAAGTAAAGGTCAAAATTTGAAGCCCTTCAACCGGCATACGGTGACGTCTCCATATGAATGAAAAAGTCTCCAGATGGACGTTAAAAAGTATACAATTAATCAAACATTAACCACATAGCTTTTCTTATGCGGCGACAATTTTGAAGTCATTCTTTTAAAAGTCAAACTATTTCTTTTCTTAAAACATTATACTTTGCCTGAACATCTTTTTTTACGTAATGTTCAAATTTCTTAAAATCGTTCAGGTTTTTTTTTTTTTAAGTAAGAACTTGCAATTTCTTTCTTTTAAGGTCAAGATCAAGTAAATGAAAAGTGCTAACAGCTTTTCTAAAATTTCTGAAATAAATTCCTTTGAGATGCTTTATTACTACAAATTGGTCAAATTCGGGGCATACTTTGTAGGATTGATTGATTGCATATTGTTTAAAGTCCCTCTCGAGAACTTTTCACTCATATGTAGACGCCACCACTTGCCAGTGAAGAGCTGCAAATTTTGTCCAATACTCGGCATTCAAGGCCATTGAGCAAGAGGGCTCCTTTTCGTGTCAGCACCTTTTACGCCACGGGACCTGTCTACAAGTCCCACAGTGGGATTCGAACCCACGACGTAAGGATCATCTTCTCACTTTAGAACTCTAAAGCAGATGCTCTTCCCACTGCGCCAAGCGAGCGACTACTTTGTATGAAAACAAGATGAAAAATCATATTTCGAACTGTCATTTTAAATAAAACTCTACGAAAACTAATTATGAATATGTGAGTTTTTTTAAGTTTCAGACGAACAAAAAAATATACAAATAACCTACATTCTCCTAGAAAATGGTTATTTTATGTTCTTGTCCCTTTACAATGATGTTAAATTGAAGAAAGGTATCGTAGTCACTTTTCAGATGATTTTAAATTGAATGTCGTGAAAATACTTTATTTTCTATATAATTTTATTAGAGCCATATATGGTACAGGAAAAAGAAAGTTGACACCAATTTTGACGTCATAATGGATATAGACCCAACAATTTATCTGAAATCATTTGCTTGATCTTGAGCTTTAAGAAAGTGTTTTCCATTCGCCACATATTTCATATTGTTTTACTTTACTTTACTCAATCGGCAGCTATTTAAAGAAAAGAAAATTGGAGTCCCAGTTCAGCTCCACCCCTTTAAGACCGCGGAACATTAACTGGCAAAATTGGAAATATACAGCGTACGTCATTTCTATCTGTTACAATCAAAACATTCAGTGATAGACAGCGTAATGGGCGGGTACAATTCGACGCGGACGTTTGGAAAACATCGGATTGAAATTGCAGATCGAAATTCATTTTCAATCCACCTCAGCTACGCTACAATTCGACGCGGACGTTTGGAAAACATCGGATTGAAATTGCAGATCGAAATTCATTTTCAATCCACCTGAACTGTTTTCAAAGCTAAGAATGAATATAAGATTCAAAAATCAACTAATTTCAACCCCCGAATACATATTGTTTGAAGTTCACATCAATACGAGTTTAGGGACACGAAAGATGATAGATGACAAAGATTATTTTTCAGGAGATATTTGATTCTAAGCTATGGGGGGGGGGGGTTAAAAATTGTCCAGTCAGGTCATGAATTACATGTAATGTTTACATGACAACATATTTTATTTCTAGGATTATTACAGTGCATTAGTTTTATACTTATTCTCACTGAAAAATGTTGGACAACTTTATTTAAAATTGTTAAGCCCCCTCCCCTAAAACAAACGTATATTTACCAAGCAGAAATGAAATATTTGTCCCTTAATATTTTTTTTTAAAACACAGGACAAAAAATTCAAACTGTACCAAAATTGAAATTATTTGTTTTCTAGGTAAGTCAGTAACACTGTGGCTTCTAGCGTAGTTGAGGTGGATTGAAAATGAATTTCAAATTATAATTTCAATCCAATGTTTTCTTATTTCTTTCTTAACAATCTTACTAATTACCCTGTGTTGGCGTTTATTGGATCAAAATTTTAAGTTTTCACTTAAATATTTAAGTCCTTACTTTTTTCGGCAGTATAGATTTCTGTACACAAGTGAACTTATTAGTAAAATCAAAGTACTGAAAGTACTGAAAAGCGGTTAGCATGCTTTCATCTAATACGTACCGAAAAAAGTGCATGAAATGATGATATTTAAGTATGCATATCTTTGTCCAATGTTATCAGAGAACAAAAAAAAAACAGACATTCTGTTTTTGTAATACTTTACTTAATAGTAAAACCAATAACATTCCAAACTGATGTCACAGATGGATGCAATCTAATT